CTGAACATTTGCCAAGTAGAATGCCATTCCAGGTAAGGGCAAAATGGCATAAAATACCAGCTAATTCACAAAACATTACTCAGGAGAATGATAGAAATTCCAAAAATTTGTCTCACAGAACAACAAAAATGAGTCAATAGGGTAAGGAACCTACAGAAAAACTTGCATGAGATTAAGGATTATCCCAAGATCATTTATAGATGAACCTGGAAGAACAAAATGATTCAAAATGGAAAATTTTTAAAAGTATTTTAACAGCAATCCATTCTTACCATCAACAAGGAATGAGGAAGTATATAAGGAAGCAGAAATGACAACTCAAAGAAAATGAAAGAAGCAGATGGACCTAACCAAAAGCACTCAGAAGAAATTGGTGCCAACCAAATTTTTAAAAGGCACTCAAGGATATATTTTCAAGATCTAAAGTAAGGAAACATTTCAAAAGAATGAAAAAGGTAATAGATGGCACTACAACCAATCAATAAGCATTTACTGAGTGCCTACTATGAAATGGAGAGTACAAATACAAATGTGGGAAAGCCTCTGCCATCAGGGAGCTCATTCTCTGCTAAGGGAGATAATGAGGACAAAACATGTTCACCAAGAAGTATACCTCCCCCAAAAAAAGTATACAGAAAATGTACACAAAGTGAACTAACAACTCAGTGGATCAGGAAAAGCTTTCTGAAGGAGGTGACACTTCAGCTGAGCCCTGAAGGAAGCCAGGCATACCAAAAAGCAGAGGTTAGAAAAGAAAGCATCGAAAGTACGAGAGACAGCCTTGTGCAAAGGCAGCAAATGAAATGCTCTGGGCAGACAATAACAAGTAGGCTGGTTTAACTGAAGTGCTTAGTATGTGAGGAGTGATATGTAATGAGTCTAGAAGAGAGGCTAAAGCCAGAATATGAAGGGCTTTAAGTCTCAAACACAGAAGTTTGTATATTATCCTACAGAGCATCACTGAAACTTCCTGAACAAAGAGTGACACAATCATATCTGTGCTTTAGGATATCAATTTAGCAGCTGTACGGAGATGTACTGAAAAGAGGAGAGACTAGGTACAAGGACATGAATTAGGAAGTTATTGCAATAGTCCACGCAAAAGATAATGAGGACCCTACGAGGGGATGCTATGTGATTAGAAGATCAATTGTTAGATGATAAGGCCTAGTCTAGAGTAGTTGTGGAAAAAGGGGATGAATGCAAGAGACACTGAAGAGATGAAATTGATTTTTAAAAAAAGGGACTAAGAAAATAATAGAAAGGGCCCACATGGCTTCATCAAAAACAGGTTCTGCAAAGCTACTGTGTTCAATTGGTTTTCCCACTTAAACTGATATCCAGATATAACTTTACTGACAAAAGGTCCATATAGTCAAAGCTATGGTTTTGTCAGTAGGAATGTATGGTCATGAGAGTTGGACTATTAAGTGCACAGAATCAACACTTTCGAATTGTAGTTCTGAAGAAAACTTCTGAAAGTCCTTTGGACAGCAAGGAGATCATATCAATCAATACTTAAAGAAATTTAATTCAGGCTATTCACTGGAAGGTCAGACACTGAAGCTGAAGCTTAAATACTTTGGCCACATAATGAGAAGATGGGATTCACTGTGCACTCAATTCAGCCAGTGAAGCTGAGATGCAACAAAGTATGGATCAATTCTCTGCTGCTTGTGCTAATTTTAGCCTAAAATTAACACTAAGAAAAAAAAGGTTCTCCACCAGCCAGCACCACACCATCCATATGTAGAACCACCAGTTACAGCAAATAGAGAAATTCTGAATACTGTGGGTAAGTTCACTTACCTTGGCAGTATACTTTCCAGGGATGTACACAAAGATGATGAGCTTGACACATGAATTGCCAGAGCTAGCTCAGTGTTTGGTAGGCTCAGAAAGAAAGTGTGGGAGAAAAGAGTATAGGCTGCCTACAAATCTGCCCATCTACTGCGCATTTGTTTCTGAACTCACTGTCTTACGCCTGTGAAACCTGGACAGTATACCAGTGCCATGCCAGGAAACTGAGTAATTCCCATTTGAATTGTCTTCTGAAAATCACCTGGCAAGATAAGGTACCAGACATTGAGGTCCTTGCTCAAGCTGAACTGCCAAGCATTCAAACTTTCTCCAGACATTGAGGTTCTTTCTCAAGCTTAACTGCCACACATTCAAACTCTACTCCAGAGGGTACAACTCCAATGGGCTGGACACATTGTTAGAATGCCTAAGAGTCTATTTTACAGAGAACTCACACAAGGCAAGTGCTCACAATGAGGTCAGAAGAAGCAATACAAGGACACCCTCAAACTCTGGAATCAATTGTGTGATATGGGAGACACTGACAAAGAACCGCCCTGCATGGCCTGCCTGCCTGCGTCAAAGAAAGTACTATGCTCTATGAGCAAAGCAGCATTACAGTAGCTCAAAAGAAATGTGAGATGTGCAAACTTAGAGACATTTCCACCCCAGGTGTTCATATGGCCTACTTGGGTCTGACCTGTGGTAGTCTTCCAAGTTCGACTCCAACACAGTGATGTCATTTTGGTCCTCTTTGAGAACTAAGGACAACAACCAACCATACAAAGGATTCTTGTTCAGGTATGTGTTAAGACTAGATAATTTCTGAGGTACTATGATTCTGTGATAACGATTTGAAAGTCATTTGCATATGGAGGATAACTGAAGCCTAAAGAGTAATTAAGATCAAATCTGGCTTCAGACACTTGACCCCTTACTAGCTGTGTGACCCTGGGCAAGTCACTTAACCTCGACTGCTTCACAAAAAAAAAAAATAATAATAATAATAGTTAAGATGACCAAAGTAGGGGAGAGAAAAATCAGAAGAGCACCAAAATGAGTAGGGGAATAGACATGAATTTAAGGGGCAGGAAAAAGGAAGTGAACCAGCAAGGAAGATAGAGGGAAGGAAGTGAGACAAATAGGATAAGAACCAAGAATCATGTTGGTAGAAGCCAAGTGGGACAGAAGCTAAGGGAAGAAGTCTTTAGAAGGAAGGAGTGGTCAAGAGTATCAGATGCTGCAGAAAGAACAAGGAGAACAAGGACCAAGAACAGGTGACGTCATAAGAGCAGCCCTACCCTACACACTTTTATCCAGGCTGATGTTTCAACATACTTTTAATACACCCCTTATTCTCTTTTTTTTCCTTTTTGGCTAGGCAGTGGGGTTAAGTGACTTGCCCAGGGTCACACAGCCAGTAAGTGTTATGTATCTGAGGCCAAATTTGAACTCGGGTCCTCCTGAATCCAGGGACGATGCTCTATCCACTGTGCCACCTAGCTGCCCCAATACACCCCTCTTTCTATCAACCACTCATCCTCGTCCCATCCAAACACAACTCTTTCACACTGAAAGCTTCCTGATACAGACTCCATTGACTTGGGCAACCAATGAACATTTACTAAGCACCTTTGTACCAGGCAACCTGGTAGGGACCACAAAAATAGTATTGTCCCTGATCTCAAGGAACTTATGTATTTAATCAGGAAACAACACATACACGTCCAAAGAAATACAAAATGAATGAAACATAATCAGGGATTGGGAGAGACACTAGCAACTCACATTATCAGAAAAAAACTTGAGCTGATCTTTGAAGGAAGCTGGGGGTTCTATGAAGCTTAGATGAATTCCAGGCATGGGGAACAGCCTGTGCAGAAGCACAGAAATGGGGAATGGAACACCACGTTTGAATAACATGGAGACCAGTTGCCCTAGACCAGGGAGCTCATAAAAGGGAGAAACACGTAATAAGTTCGGACTGGTTCAGCTGGAACTGAGGTTCCAGGAACGCTTCTATGCCATCATGAATAGTCAGAGGAAGACTTCTGCCAGTTTTACATCTCCAGTTCCTTACTCCCAGTAAAATATAAGTCTCATAAAAAGAGTCTCAGCCCTTTTCCTGAAAGCTGAGACTATTAAGCTAAAGTGTTTGCCTTCCCAGTGCATGACAGATATTTAATATATGCTCCCTGAATAGAAGAAAAGGTTAGGATGGGACTAAATTGTTCAGGGCTTTAAATGTCAAAACAAATCAGTAATACTTTATCCCACAGGCAATCAGGAGGTCCTGCAGCGTTTTAAGCATAGGAGTGCCATGGCCAAACCCACGCTTTAGGAATACGAATTTGGCAGCTATGTGGAGGACTGAGTGGAGAAGGAAGAGAGCAGAGGCAAGGAGACCAACTAGGAAGCTCCTTCAATAGTCACAGAGAGAAGTGGTGAGGTCCTGAACAGAAGAACAAACAGGACGGTGAAACACATTCCTGCACAATGCCTCTAAACCTCAGATATTCTTTAGCTATCCCCTTTCTCTTTCTCCCACAAATACTCTCCAGCCATCTCCCTTTCTCCCACACATCTCCTCCAGGCATCCCCCGTCTCTTTTTCCCTACCCCAATCTCTAAAGCTCCCTCCATCATCTATTTTCTCCACTTTCAAGCAGTCAGCCCCACATCAAACACCCTCCACTCAGATTCCTTCAAGAGGATTCTCGGGGCATGGTGAGCCCCTCACCCATTTCCACTACATGGCCCCATAATATTAGAAACAGATTCCCCCCCCCTTCGTGCCCCGGGCACCCCCCCCCCGCAGCTGTTCCCCAACATAACCAGCCAGCAAAGGCCGGCGAGCTCTCCTCCCTGGCTCTGTTTACCCACACACACACACACACTTCTACACCCCCCTCCCCACACCAGCTCACCCCTCCCCCCACCGTTAGGAGCCGAGGCAGGGCCGCTAGGGATGCCGTGCGAGTTGTCCGGCCGGACCGAGAAGGGAAGCCTCCACCTCCGGCCTCATCGGCTCGGGCTGCGCCCCCGCCACTGGCGGCCCGGGAGGCTCCAGAGATGGAGCATTAGGGGAGCAGGCCCCGACAGCCCAGGGGCTCTCCCCCTTCCCCACGCCGTGCTGGCGCCCAAGTCCTCCTGGCCTACCCCCACCCTCTTCAACTACCGAAGCTGCCGTCCCAGTCCGACCTTTGCGCTCGATGTCGCTCTCCACATCGCTTCCAAAAAGATCCTCCATGTCCGCCATCCTGAAGCCCCAGCAGCCGGTGACTAGCTTTCTTTACGGCAAGGAACCGGCGCTCCTTACGACACTGTCGCAAAAAATGTAGCTAAGCAAATAAATAAATAGATAGAACATCTCTTCTCCTCCCCCTGGATCCGCCTTCGACGCCAGCTCCGCCCTAAGTCTCCGGGAATGGAAGGAGAGGAAGAAGTGGGCGTGGCAGGCGTGAGTGGGAGGGGCTTCTCGAGTGGGAGGAGCTATGCGGAATGAGCTGCCCTAGTTGGCGAGAGCTGGGGGAGTAAGCGAGGTCACAGTGATGCAACGCCAAGATGAAAATCCTTTGTTTCTTGTTTTTTTGAGTTTTCTTTTCCTCCTAAAAAAAACCCTTAATATTGCTGTGATATACTAATACGTTTCTGAGTTAAGACGTTAATAACTTCTGAGTCCTTTTGTAAAAGCTACTTTTTTTTAAAAATTTCTGTATTTGATTAGAGACTATTAGCTCATAAGGTTAGATCAGGGAGCAATTAAGGTCAAGGATGGGCGGGACATCCTGCAAAAGCCAATTAGCTTCCCAGATTTTAGTCTGGAGATGTGGGGCAAATTCCAATGTGGAAAAAGGAGGGGTCTTGGGCTGACTGGCTCTTTCTGACTGTTCAAATAAATCCAAAATGATTATTTTCCTAATGGTTCTTGCTTAGGTGAGCTGATGAGACAGTCCGACAGTTCTGTCCTGTCCCGTGGCCACGGACACTCATCCCTAACGATAACCAGATGGCTTCCTGTGGTTATAAGGATTAGTTAAGAAAGGTTAAAATTGATTACCATCAGACTGAAGGAAAATGCAAGCTTTATGGTATTCCAGTAAGATTTTCACATGTAATGTGAGCATTTCATGGGTTAATAGATTTAGAGCTGAAAGGGACCTCTCAGGCCATTGGTTTTCGACTCCCTTTATTTACAGATGGGGAAATTAAGGCACCAATAAGGTTAAATGACTTGCCCAAAGTCGAGCTCGAGCGCGAGCGCGCACGCGCGGACACACACACACACACACACACACACACACACACACACACACACACACACACACACACACACACACACACACACACACACACACACACACACACACACACACACACACACACACACACACACTCCCCCCAAGCAGCCACTTATCAAGCATTTATTAAGTGCCTACCCTAAGGCAGACACAGCTAAACACAGGAGATACAAAGAAAAGCAAAAACAGATAACTGGAGCCAGGTGCTCATACTCCAAATCCTGCCATCTATTCACTGAACCATAATATCCATTTCACATATATACATCTGTACATACCCACATGTCTACTGTGAGTGCATAAATCAACTGCTAATAAGTGGAATTGTTTTCCCATTGATTTGTATTAAAGTTTTAGAAATAGTTGTCTACATTTCTGATGTGTCTACAATTAGCAGTTGATGTTAATAGCTTGATTTTAAATTCCTTTGTCTCCTCTCCCAGCCCAAGACTTTTCCTTTAGCTACTGAATAGATCATAGGTCCCTGAATCCCGGGGCCATCACCAGTCCTCCTGATCTATGTATTGCCACTGGACCTAGATGGCTCTGGAGGAAAAAGTGAGGCTGGTGATTTTGCACAGCCTTCCCTCACTTAAATCCAATTCGCTTGCAAGTCATGGCATCACCTTTTTGATGTCATGGTCTTCTATGAAAATGAAGGACAAACAACAACTTGTGAGTAGTCCAAGCTGCCCCACTGGGGACCCAACTGACCAGTTCCAGTTGAGCAACACAGCTCCTTCCTTTCTTCCCTCCTTCCTTCCTTCCTTCTTCCCTCTTTCCTTTTTTCCTTCCTTCCTTCCTCCCTTCTCTTCCCTTTCCTCTGTCCACATAGGGTTTCATACCCTTACCGGCCAGTGCTCTGCCTGAAAGAATGTAAATTTTGATGGCTGAAACCTATCAAGATAAGTTGGGGTTTACTGACTAGATTTCTTTCTTAAATAAAGACCATGCCTTAAATCCAATTCACTCTGGTTCTCATGGATTGGCAACAATAGATCCTAACCTAAGCCCCACTTAGTGGTCATTGTCTGGGCCCTGATGGCTCAGAGTAAATAGCATTTTTTCTGTTTTGGCTAGAAACCCTGAGGTCTTCCCTTCCAGACTGATTTTTTTTATTAGGTAAAACTAAGGGATCATTCTTTGGCTCATTTCTTACCTACCCTTAGGTTACCTCAATCAAAGTGAGAACTTGGAAAGATCTTAGCTTAAAAAGGCCAAGGTCTCCCACAGTATCCAGGGCCATCTCCAGTCATCCTGATCTATATCTTGCCACTGGACCCAGAGGGCTCTGAAGGAAAAAGTGAGGATGATGACTTTGTACAGCCCTCCCTCATTTAAATCCAATTCACTTGCAAGTCATAGCATCACCTTCCTGATGTCAGGATCCTCTTTGAGAATGAAGGACAAAGATCACAGAGCTATAAGATTCTTAAGATAGAAAGGACCTTAGTTATCATCCTTTTAGATATCTTCTTTTTATAGGAGACTGAGGCCCAGAAAGGGTAAGTGATTTGCCCAAAGTCATACAATGACAGAGCTAGGATTGGAACTCTGAACTTGTGATTCCAAATTAAAAGGCATAGGGAAAGTTTATATGTCTTAAAGGAATCTTAGTAAATCCTTTTACAATGTGAAATATAATACTCTAATGTGTACATTATCACATGTAGCTTGTCAAAGCATCTTTTGGGAAATTACCAAAAAACCAGATAACTGTATACAACTATATATACCATCTTTTAAACACTTCCATGCCCAACATTCTTGTGTTGATAAGTTTCAGCTGAAAATTGGCTAATGAATAAGTTCATCTTTCCCTATATTCTGATTAGCAAGTATAATAGTTGACTCTCTATTAAAATTTTTATTTCATGAAGGAACTAATATTCTATATCTTCTTGAAGCAGCATTGTGGATGGATCTAATGCTAGTAAAATGAAAATGTATTCATCCTCAACACCTCTCTCACTCTCATTCCACATATCCAATCTATTGCCAAGTCTCCTCATTGCTATACTCTTTATTCTCTCTACTCAAACAGCCACCACCTTGGGTCAAGCTCTCATCATCTCACCCTTGTGCATCGAATTAGACTTCTAATTTGCACCTGGCCTCCTGTGAGCTTCTTGAGAGTAAGAACAATGGTTTTGCCTTTCTTTGTACCCCCAGTGCATAGCACAGTATTTGTCACTTAGCACTTGATAAATCCTTGTTGAATGTCTGAAAGAAAAATTTCCCATTTAAAACTTCTCCTATGGATTTTTTTTTCATTCATTGAACTCAGATTTTGAAGATGGGATATGAAGCAAACACATAAACTCTGTGCTTTTAGGGCTCTTGTACGTGTTTCATACAACCTCTCTAGTGGAACAAATGAAGAATTATTGGATTTTAAATTTGCTAATTAGGTTGTTATTTTTAAATTATAACATTAAAAGAAATAGACTTGTAAAGATACCTTGAAAATACGTATTTACGTGTGTGACCATGGATATGTCACTTAATATCTCTGGTCCTTTTTCTCCAGGGGATCTTATATTTAGAGCTAAAATGAGAGCCTTTTAAAATTTAGAGCCCTTTTCTTCATCTAATGCAATCCTATGATTTTACAAATGATGGAGATGGTAAGTCAATTGACTCCTTTCAATCTCAATTTCCTGATCTGCAAAATAATAGCTGTTATAGGGTTTGCAAGGCACTTTACTAGTATGTCATATGAGCCTTACAAAAGCTCAGAGGTGATGCTATTTTTATCCCCCCTTTATAGATGAGGAAATTGAGGCTGAGAGGTCAAGTAACTTTGCCCAGGGTCACACAGCTAGCAAACACACGAGGCAGTATTTGAACTGAGGTTTTCCTACCTCCAGGCCCAGGGCTCTATCCACTGTCATCTAGCTGCCTCAAATTGAAAATAATGTTTTATACTACTTCATATGTATACTTGATATCATATTACTTGCCTCCTTAATAGGTCAGGGAAAGGCTAAAGGGAGGGGAAGAAATTGAAACTCAAAAAAATGTTTAATGAACATTCTAAATAAAATTTAAAAATAACTTTTTTAGGAAATGGAAATAAAAACACTTACCTCACAGGGCTCTTGTGAGGATCAAATGAGAATAAGTGGATGTGTATAAATATATACATAAATATTTCATTTATTATGTAGAATCACAACATAACTGTTGTTTATATAAATATAAAATATTTGATTCATAAATATAAAATTGTTTATATACGTATATGTGAATAACTGGGTGTTGTACATGTGTGTAAAATAATAATGACTTTAAACGTGTGTTTATATATGTAAATGTACACATATATGTATTTGAGCATGTGTGTAGAATAATAAACAGAAAGGTTCTTTTATGTATGTAAATATATATATATATATATATGTGTAGGTGGGCACATGAAATAATGGAAAATTTGTTTTATGTATGCTTATGTGTATAGATATACCTGTACGTATTTCAGTATATGTGTAAATAACTATGAAATGTTTATATGTATATGTTTATATATGTAAATATACACACATATGTGCTTGGATATACTATATAAATAATAAATATAATTTTGTTTTGTGTGTACTGCATATATGTAAATATACATGCGTATTTGGGCGCATTGTATAGGTATGTGTGTGGAATAATAAATATTTGCTTTGTACACACAAGTTTATGTAAGTATACACACATCTATACTTGGGCATATATTGTGTATCTACATGCACATATATGCAGCAGCAGCCAAGCCTACAGAGAAGCCAGCTTGTACCCACGCAGCATACCTGCCCCCGCCCCACAGCAGACTGACTCATCCAGTCATTTGGTTGGGCTGGGCTGTGCAGGTCAGTTGGCAGCTACTTCTTGACTGGTGGGCAGGCCACTCAGAAGTTGGGCAATGCTGAAATGGGCAGTACCAGTCACTGAGCTGCTGGCCTCATCTCAGGAGGCAGTGTCTCTGCTGGACCCGCTGACCTCTCCAGGCTTGCTCTTGGAT